ATCACTAACTTTGTGTCTTCTCTCTCCCGTAGTGTGTCCTCTCTCTCTCCCTGTACCTTTCTGCAGGTTGCCCTGGCCCTGGAGCTCTATGTCTCTGACGAGCAGTCACCAGCCACATCGACCTGATCAGTGTTTGATTGTTGTGTCTTGTTGCTTTTCTTCTTTTGTCTCTCCTCTATCCACTCACCCCAACTGGTCGAGGCAGAAGGCCGCCCACCAAGAGCCGGGGTCTGTCGGAGGTTTCTTCCGTTAAAGGAAGTTTTTCCTCCCCACTGTCACCAAGTGCTTGCTCAAGGGGGATTTGTTGGGTTTTCCCTCTGTAATAATAGTGATAACAGTAAGGTCTAGACCTTAGTTTGTAAAGTGTCCTGAGATGACTTTTGTTGTGATTTGGCGCTATACAAATAAAATTTGATTTGATTTAAATTTTTGATTTGATATGCAGGAGCTAAATAAATAATACATTCGGGAGGGATTTTGGAATTATTAACTGTAAATCATACAAAAGGCTAAATTATCATACAATTACTCTGGTGGCACAAGGCTGCAGAGCTTTGCCACCGGCCCAGTGGCTAAGACAGTGAATATGGAGGCCAATTTCACAAGTCTTCATGAAATCAAAACACAAAAGACAAAAAGCAAATTTAAAAAAGAGCCAAGGAGGGAGACAGTACAGACTATGACTTGTTTTACCCTCCCTGTACTTTTTAATTGTTGGATTTTGCTTATTTCTACAATGTTCTTGGCAAAACACTTCACCTCACAGATGCACTCACTGTCTTTCACCTTTTATATTCTGCACAAAAGCTGTTGATCAAACTGTAAACTAGGCCTGGAGGCTGTCCCAGGATGTTACACCCGGTTCACAGGAAACAGTTTTATCCGAGCTGTCACTGTGCTGCCATTGTTCCAGTACACAATATTCAGAGTAAATAAACTTTCAGTTAAATCTGCTGTGGCTGCTGAACATTTGTGCATGACAGGTACAGGGCAGATACACGACTGGAAGCTTGTGGGGTAGCTCAGGCTGCAAACCAGACGCACAACACACAGCTAGTGGTTTATGTAAAACCTGTAGCTTGATTCTTGCCCCGGCTCTGCAACACAATCCACTTCTTGTTTCTTGTTCATCGTCATACTTCAATTTTTTTTGTCTCAGGGTAAAATGTCACATGTGACATTTTTATTCCCATAAAAAGACTTGTTAATGTTTTAGCCAATGAAAAATCCAAGTGATTAAGGACCTGCATCAACCTGTATTGCAATCTACCTCTGCACTTACATATAGATTGACTGTCCTTTACACTAAATCCATTCAGTCAGTCACACTCTCTGGCTAAGATCGATGTAAACCCAGCACTTGACTCATCCAAACAGTCTGCAGACACAGTCATATTCAAGTGCCTGGAGGAAGTGAACTGGATTCTGAGAGAGCACAAATGGAGGTGAAGGGTGGAAGGGGGAACATAAAGGAGAGAATGAATGAATGAAGAGGAAAAAGCATGTAACACACCACACTTGCTGACAGTACAGAAGTAAGGCACAATAAAAAGAAACCTGATCTGTTAGCAAAAAGGCTGATTTGATATACATCATATTTCTCTTGACTTGTGCAAGCCCCCTGAAGAGAGCGCAATTTCTCATCCCACTGCCTCTGCACACACACACAAAATACGACAAACGCCTGTTGTCATGATGCGTTTGAATGTGTGTAGGTGGGAACTCAGCTGTCTGTGTGAGTGTTTGTCTTTCTATGTATGAGTCAGAGACAGGTAGGGAAGAGGAAACAAGTCAGTGAGAAAACAGAACAATTCTTGCTGAGCATCTTATCTGGTTCTACAGCCTCTGTCTCATTTCCAAGGGGTGTGTGGTTATAAAACTCCAGATAATGTAATGGGGGGGGGGGGGGGA